ATGCAAAATGCCACACCTTTAAGCAAACTGGCATTTCACTGGAAAAATAAACATTTATTTTTAGAGCATTTGCCCTAGTTATTGCAACCTAAAGTGAGAAAGCATTTGTACCTTATATAATATCTGGATGGCTGCCCTATTTCTTCCAATTGTGTTTTGATTAGAAAGCAGAACATTATTTGGATCTTCTCTTTTCAATACAATACAATAGATAGTGAGCTTAGAAATGGTGAAAGGTAAATCAAAATCTATTAGGAGACTTCTTGGCCTTTTGCAGTAGATTAGTAAGGGATGCTAACTGTACTTTAACTGTAATGGCTCAATGCTATGGAATCATGAGAGTCGTCGTTTTACAAGGGCATTTGCTTTCTCTGCCCAAGAATACTGATATGCCATCAAACAACAAATCCCATAATTCCTTAGCATTGTACCATATACTTACTTACTTACTTAGGCGATCCCTCGCTTTCCGAGGATGATTGTCTTCCAATATTCTTGTGGGTCCGTATGTGGCTGTGGAGCCCTATTCTTGCTCTGTACCATATAAGTGTTGTAAAACTACACTAATTCTACAGTGCCAATGCACTGAAGGATTTCTGACTCCCCAAAGTTTAACAAAAACAACAAGTAACAGATTCCTGGACCAGTTGTAGAGTCCTGTGAGTTTATGCATACATTTATTTTATTGCATTTTTAAACCACCCACTAACCAGAGTTCTCTTTGCAGTGTGCAGCCTTCTAAAAATATGAAATGTATCAATAATATATGACTGAAGAAGTCAAAAATAAAACCAAGAGAAAACTCTCAACTGAGAATAAAAGATTTCAGCATCTGAAACCAAATCAAAATCAAGAGCAGGATAACAATTTAAAACACATAAAGTATGTAAAAGACCTTAAATGCTTGGAAGAGTTCCATACATGAAGCTCACTTACATTATAGTCTTTTCAGGGACAGATGAATCTCACAGGGTTGTACTTTATTTAAATATCCTAAATAGCTCCTGCAAAGATCTTGAGCATAAGGAAATTCCAACTGGTGGTAGCACACTCTTCAACATTTCACAAGTGAAAACAAGGAGGAGTGGCCAAGCAGAATCAGTGTGGTCAAGATGACAAAATGTATTAATGAGGAAGAACAGACAGGTGAAGAAAGGCTACAGCAGTTTACTTTTGCCTGAGTCTACAGGGAAATGCAAGATTTTCCTCCCTCCTCTCTAAGTTATTTAAGTGCAAAGAATGGTACTTCTACAGTCGTAGAAGAATTTCGAGGGCAAAGGGGGGGGGAATAGAAAGACAAGAAAGAAACTGGGACATTTTGAAAGAAGTTTAAAAAGTGGGATGACATAGAATTGAGGACGCGTGGTTCGAGAGCGGTATGTATGAAAAAAACCTTGGAGTCCTCATGGACAACAAGTTAAACATGAGCCAACAATATGGTGTGGCGGCAAAAAAAAGCCAATGGGATTTTGGTCTGCATAAATAGGAGTATAGTGTCTAGATCCAAGGAAGTCATGCTCTATTCTGCCTTGATCAGACCACCCCTGGAATATTGTGCCCAATTCTGGGCACCACAATTGAAGAGAGATATTGACAAGCTGGAATGTGTCCAGAGGAGGGTGACTAAAATGATCAAGGGTCTGGAGAACAAGCCCTATGAGGAGAGGCTTAAAGAGCTGGGCATGTTTAGCCTGAAGAAGAGAAAGCTGAGAGGAGACATGATAGCCATGTATAAATATGTGAGAGGAAGTCCTAGGGAGAAGGAAGCAAGCTTGTTTTCTGCTGCCCTGGAGACTAGGACATGGAACAATGGCTTCAAACTACTGAAAAGGAGATTCCACCTGAACATGAGGAAAAACTTCCTAACTGTGAGAGCTGTTCAGCAGAGGAACTATCTGCCCCGGAATGTAGTGAAGACTCCTTCCTTTCTTGGAGGCTTTTAAACAGTGGCTGGATGGCCATCTGTCAGGGGTGCTTTGAATCTGATTTTCCTACTTCTTGGCAGGGTTTTGATTGATCCATGAGATCTCTTCCAACTCTATGATTCTATATATAATAAAATGCCCCCACCTTTTACTCATAGTCCAGCATGTATTAGGAATCACTTTATGTTATGTATTCTGGGCAATTTTTCTGGGGTCAAGTATCTACAATACACAGGGAGAAACAGATAATGAAACTGCCTTGCTGATTGTAATCTTCAAAATCTAATGGCTTGTCATCTTCAAAATGTTTGAAGTAGAACTTGGAAATGTTTGGACTACAAGTCCCAGAATCCCCTAACTGGTGTTGATATGCTATCTGGTGATTCTATTTCTTCAGGGGGGAAGGAAGCTTTTCCCAGAAGAAGGCAATGATGTGAACTAGTAACAACAATTGATGCAGCTTTCCTGTTTCTGCCTGTTTTACAAAAATGATTCGTGACACTGTTGGTGAACCAGCAAAACTACAAATGATACTCTTTTGTTTAAATGTTTGATTTATATTTCAAACAACTGCTCCAACCGATAACAGAAGCCTCCTATTCAGGATAAACATTTGTGTATTCTAATTTTCCCAGATACATCAAACATATTTCCACACTTTATTTAAAACCCAATGTTTGCCTCTTGCCATTCCCACCATACTAGCTTACATCCTTTGTTTACATGACCACTAGTAGACCATCTCACTGCTCATTACCATCACTTTTCTTAAAAATAAATAGGAGACATCATTTCATTATTCCCTGAATGATGCAGGGTAAGAAACAAGAGGCAAAATACAACTGAGCCCCCAACCAGTAATCTAAGCAATTAGGTCTGCTCATTAACTTGAAGTGCATGAATGGGCTCTTTGATCTCCAAGGAATTATGATTCACGTGTTTCAATCCATGCGTGATCATGCTGGCAAGATAGAGTTTGTACTTGCCTTTGTGTTTTCAGCTTGTCAAAACCTCATTGGTGTTGTCTGATAAATACTAGATTGCTTTGGAGTCTGTACAGAGTGGGACTAAGACTTATAAGAAGGAAATTTTTGGAGTTTTTCTCATATCTAATATATCAGTAGGCCTCTTCTAGGAACATACTATACATATAAGGATCAGCCCAAGACCTTGTGCTAAGACAAAAACCGAAATGGTACCGCCCCCCTCCCAACTCATAAAATCATGGAGTTGAAAGGGATCCCCAAGGCCAACTATCTAGTCTAACCCCTGTCATGCAGGCATACACAACAAAAGCACCCATGAGAGATGGCCATCTAATCTGTTAAAGGATCTTCCAAGAAGGAGGGCCCATTGCCCTTTGAGACAGGATGTTCCACTGAACAGTTCTGCATGTACAAAGGCCAAACAAACTAAAAATTTAATATTCCTGCAATGTTGGCTATAGAAGAGCATTCTTGACAACACAAACGAGTAACTTCCATAGACCCTGGGGGGGTTATTCTATCTAGATTTCCTGTTTTAGCGATGAAGTATACAAGAATGCTACCTGTAGCAGCCATGACCGTAGGCATGACAATCTAATGGCTTGTCATTTGAATTTTCTATGACTTGCCATCATCGCCTAACAGTTCTTCAGAAGTAATTGTGCAAGGAGTTCCTGTGTGATTTGTGAGGAGAGTTAGTTTTAAGGAGAGTTTGAAAACGTGACCTTACAATGACCATAATCCCCAGCCAGCACTTCCAATTTTTCCAAGCTCTTGATCTAAGGATGAGCTTCAAATCCCATTTACTCATCTGGAATATCTTCAGGCTCAGAGCACCTCTGCTACAGGTATTAGATGCAGACCTCTAAAGCAGGCATGGGCAAACTTCGGCCCTCCAGGTGTTTTGAGCTTCAACTCCCACAATTCCCAACAGCCGGTAAGCTGCCTGGGATTTCTTAGAGTTGAAGTCTGAAACACCTGGAGGGCTGAAGTTTGTCCATGCCTGCTCTAGAGTACTAAAATGCAACTCTTAGTATTCTTCACCATTGGCTGTGCTGGCTGGGCTGCAACCTGTAGTTAGCAATTTCATGAGGCACTTGAACTCTCTAATGGAGAATTCTAAATACCAATCTAAACTATGAATTCCATGATTCCATATAATGAAGCCATGGCAGTTAAGGTACTATAAATCTCTATGTATGAAAAGTAGGGGCAGAGTACAGGAATTGATTAGTTTATCTTGACTTTCCCATTCCACAGTAGATATGGTTCCTGGCTGACTGAAAGGATGAATTTTATTGATGGAAAATGGTGCAATTCTATGGAACTTTCAACTGCAGTTCTTATATTCACTATTATATGTGGTATTAAAGGTAAAGGTTTCCCTTGTCATTAAGTCTAGACATGTCTGACTCTGGGGGTGGTGCTCATCTCCATTTCTAAGCCGAAGAGCCTATAGACACCTCCAAGATCATGTGACCAGCAGGACTCCATGGCGCACCATTACCTTGCTGCAGAAGCAGTACCTATAGATCTACTCACACTTGCATGTTTTCAAACTGATTTGTCAGAAGCTGGGCCTAACAGTGGGAGCTCACCCCAATCCATGGATTTGAACCATTGACCTTTTGGTCAGCAAGTTCTGCAACTTAGCAGTTTAACACACTGTTCCACCAGGAGACCCTATATGTGGTAATAGTATAGTATTATATGTCTGTTTTGGGAAAGTTGCAGCTTTTCTGGTGAGTCCAGCTCCCATTATACATAGTCAGTATGGCACATGGTGATGGGAGCTGGAATGCAACTATTTCTGCTGGTCTATGCAATAGGCAAGCTCTGTGTAGCCTTTTACATGCTTTTCTGTGGTCCAGAGAATACTGCCACTGAATCAGCCAACAGAAATTGCTTTCACTCTTCTTCTACACCATCTAGGTTTTGTTGATACTATCAATAAATCGAATTGGTGCAACTCCTGATGAGTTCTGAAAGATCCACCCAATCCTGGGAATTTGGCTACCTTTAGTAACAATCAAACAAATCAACCTTATGGAAATGGTTGTAAAATGCATACAAAGAACTGTACACTCTGTAGAACTGCTATATTTATTTATTTATTTATTTATTTCAAAGTTTTATATACCGAGCTTCTCAACTCCTTAGAGGGACTCAGCCTGGTTTCCAACCATAAAAACACATACAATTGGTAAAATATCAAAGTACATAATTACAATAAAACACTGGAAAAACACATAAATTTAAAAACTACAGTGGTCAGTCGTCGTACTAAAATCGAATATACACCGTCTTCCATCCAGAACGTTGTCTCATTCTTCGAAAGCCAAGCAAGCCTTCGAAAGCCACAACCACGACTTCACCTGTTTCCTGAATGTCAGAATTGTTGGGGCGGTTCTGACATCAGGCGGGAGAGAGTTCCAGAGTCGCGGGGCCACCACCAAGAAGGCCCTGTCCCTCGTCCCCACCAGCCGCACTTGTGAGGCCGGTGGGACCGAGAGCAGGGCCCCTCCAGACGATCTTAGTAATCTTGATGGTTCATAGGGGAGAATACGTGTAGAAATGATCGACATCATAAACCCAATATTTTTGTCTGCACAATTTTAAATTTCATGTAGTAACAACAAGATCAATCCAGCACTTTTCTTCTGCTCTGAAATAACTCTTAGCTATTATGATCCTCAAGATAATACCATAGGGTATTTAGACTCATGATGTAATTCCTTAACATCTATATATATTTTTTCTTTTCTTCTAATAGTTCTTACTCCTCTTTGTTGCTGATAAATAAAGAAATCACAGCAACAGAGATAAAATCTGGAGGCGTTTGTTCTATTTTTAGTTGACAGGGATTGTTGATAGCTGATCTGATGAGCCACATCTTCCAGAAACTGAAGAATATCTTCTACCTCCTTCTATAGCTTGCAATATGAGACAGAAACCACCCAGCTGGTCCAAGAACAGCCAGTGAAAAGACTGTGAAGCCAATGATGGTTTCCTAAATCAAGAGAAAAGAGAAGGTCATATCAGGCAAAGCAAAAGTGGAACGCCGCCAGCAGCTTTCGGCCCGCAGAAGCATATACAATGTTACTGAACTATTAAAGCTGTAATCCAGTAATGTGATAAGTATAAAAGCCAGTCCCACTGAAATATGATGATTATACTCATTCCACTCACTAGCTGACGCAGTTCATGTCAACAAAAAAGCAAAGTGTAGTTTGTCATTTTTAGGTCACTGTAGGATGTAAAACTGGGTTGGGGGAAATTACTTCCAATGCCTGACAAGGGCTTAGTGGCTTTCCTGTGTTTTCACAAATGCTCTGAAATTGAGGACACGCTGCTGCAGCTGTTCTGGTATAATAGACATTGGGAAAGTTACTTTTTTTGGATTAGAGTCCCCTTGCTAGCATAGCCAGTAGCTGGAGATCCTGGAGGTTAGCACTGGAATATAATGGCTGAGTGGAAATGTTGCCTTAAATAAAATAATAATAATAATAATAATAATAATAATAATAATTTATTTATACCCCACTACCATCTCCCCAAGGGACTCGGTGCGGCTTACATGAGGCCAAACCCACAATACATCAGTAATAAAAGCAATAACAACAGTAATACAAAACAATAAAATAAAACTCATAACAGAAGATAAGCAATAAACATCAACAGTAACACAACGACGTTTAAAAACCTAAATGGCTTTTAAAAACCTAAATGGCTTTTAAAAATTTAAATCTATTTTACTGTCTAAGAACACAGTTCAAACACAGAGAGTTTTTGCCCCAAAATTGCATGGGAATCCCTGTGGAGAAATGCCAAGCAGACCCACACATTTGCTTAAACAGACGGGTCGGAAAGGCAGCCTGTGCATCCACATTGGGATGCAGTGAAACTCTTGAATACTGTGTTACTCCCAATTTTGCAGACAATATCCAAGTTGCTGAATTCTCTTTCCAAAGAGGTCCAGCATTCTGGATAACTTTGTTGCATTCTAGAGCAGAAGTTTAAATCCTGAGTAGATTCACCACAACACTGATGAGAAAGTCGTTGACTACTGAGTACTTTAAACCATGGATGGATTCCATTTTACTCCAGACTGTCTTTTACATTAGGTAGAAGTTTTATGTACAGTAGTCACAAATAGCTCTGTGTCATAACTGTGTCTCCTTTGGCTTTTTCTGGAGTCTCACTTCCTTGTTTATTCCTGCAGATAACTCCCCTTCCCCTCCCCCCCCCCCCCCCCCAAAAAAAAACCCTGGTGTTGCCAAAAATGTTTGAGTTCCTTCCCTGCCAAAAGAGAAGGAGAAAGGCAGCAGAGTGATCTAAAAGAGAAGGAGATCTTCTATGAGGGCCAAGAAGAGGCATTCTGCTAAACAGGAAGATGGTGTACTGCTGTTTCTATTGATCTTCAACAGTCATTGTGTTGAATCTGGGAATTTGGGTAATTAGGGGTGGAAGCAGAAAGACTCCTTGGATGTGAAGATGGCCAAAGGCAGCCCCCTGTTCCTGAAAAAAAAATCCCTCCCCTAATGTATACACTATAGTCTCCCCTACCCTGCCCCTATAACAATATGGCTGAAATGGAGTGGTGTGACTTTTTTTTTAATGTGCCTTCAAACCAACTCTGATGTATGGGGACCCTTTCCTAGGGGTATCTTGCAAGGTTTATTATCCATCAGCGGAACAGGAAACAGCAGTAGCAATAGCAGAAGAATGGTTTAGAACTGAAAGAGTTATGGGGCATTCAATGGACAGAGCACACAATGACATTGTTCATCCTATTCAGAAGTAGAGTGGGTAGATCAAAAGACAACCTGGCACTACTTAGAAGAATCCTCCACCTTGTGCAACTATGGAACACAACAAACAACTCTGCATATGTATGCTTCTTCACAATGCCCTGCCTCATGCACAGAGGAAGAATGGTTTAAAGCTACTGACAATGTGGTCGCTGCTCCGTGTTTTTAGTCAAAAGTTATTCAATTGTGTGTTCTCTATTTTTATCAGTTTTATACTTATTGTGCAATGCTTTTGACACAAAATAAATAAATCCTATTGTTATTTTGAGGTACCTGAAACATGGGGGCAATTCACGCCACACAATTATAGTGCTGTTAGTTCAGTTTAAATGCTATTGTCCCATCCTATAGAATCTTGGCTATTAGCAGTTTGGTGAGGACACTTTCAAATAGTTTACTGTCCTCCAACAACCTTTCAAAAAGAGGTTGTAAAGTAAAAAGAAGTTGTAAAGTAAAACATGTGACCGCTAGAGTTGTTTTGTTAACATACTGCATGTTTAAAAAAAAAGATCTCTCAATATTTTAAAGTGATGCTGTATAACGTGTGCAAAAATGTTCTCTAAAGTGCTGAATGGATGTTCAGCAATGCATGCTCTGAATTTAAAGGCTATAATAATATTAAATATGATTGCTATCCAGACCAAAACATAGTTTCAAAGCACCATATTTCTCCTTGTTTGGCCCAAGGCTTTAATTTAATATATAATGAACCTGAGTTTACAAAGATAAATCTGCCTTGATGGGATTCTGTTTTACAGCAGGGTGATTCTCAAAAGGGATAAAGGAGAAAGAAAACAATATCCTCTCATTCAGCACTGTAGGTCTAGCGAAGTTCAGGCGGGCTGACTTTCTCGGTGAGGTTCCATACTCTTAAATATTCTGTTTAATTTTTAAGAGCATTTGAAGTTAAAGTGAATCCACAAAGGGAAAATTTCTCCTTTCATCTAAAAGCCACCTGAGATGCCTCCTCCTCAACTTGTCTAGAGGCTTAAACAAATGAACAAGAATAGAAAGTCCTCTGGGGATAGAAATTGGAAATGTTATCCTTTTGAAGTATAAATCTCTGTTGGCATTGGGGATTCTAGATGTTGTTGTAATGATTCCACATCTACCATTACCATCCCACCGCCTTGCTTCGTTTAGAAGAGAAAAAGATTAACCTGAGCAGAAACAATATATTAATCCCATTCTGTTATTAGAAGAACAAATTAACTGGAATCCCAGTCTCCAAAATATTTGCTTGTCCCAGTAAATAAACTAGTTCATCTTCTGCCTAACCAGGTAACCCCTCAAAGAGTTGCACTATTACTTATTCCCAGTTAGATAGGATTTGTAGTCCAACACATTTGGAGGGTGAATAGTTGGAGCAGGATGAGCAAAGGCAATAAGGATGAAGAGATGGATAACTCACCAGTGGACCCACTTTGCCTTTGGCTGGCTTGCTATGAATGAGACATCCGTGTCTGTTTGCCATCCTGATGAAGAGCAATCCAGAATGGAGCCGGCAACCTTGGCTCATGACTAGGGCCATCATTCAAGTGAGTAGCATGAGAAAGAGTTTGATCACCAGCTTTGTCTACTTGATGGTTCCAGATCTGTTGAACTGGATGCTCTTTAGCAACAGGTAATCCAGGAACTCAGTGGTTCATTTGCAGTCAGTCTGGATGGACTCTACATTTATCTTGGCCACTACCAAGTCAGGAAACCCCTGTTCTCTGTCAGTCTGTCTGCTCTCTTGAAGGGAAGAAAAGCCCTCTGGATCAATCACCCGCCACAAGCTTACTTAACTGTCAGCTGTTGGTACCCAAGGGATAGGAGGAGCTAGTCCCAGTAGCTGGGGACAGTACAGTCAAGGCAGGCAGAATAAACCATTAGATTAAAAGAGCTGAATCAACAGCAAAATTCCCAGATCTCGGGTTACTGGTCATGTGTCTTGGGGTATAAGGACAAGGGAGAGGAATCTAAAGCTGAGAGTGCTGCCTTGCAAAATCTGTGTATATTTTTTTCTTGATGTATTAGTAGTTTTTAATTTTTTCAGTGGCATAATTCGGTGAAATTGTGCATAATTATCCTGTTTAATAACACCACTAGGGCTGTCATTTGCAACAATACTCTTAAAACATCACCAGAGTTTACTTACGATAATGTCACACATGGTCATCCACAGCACTCAGGTCTAGGAATTGAAATCTCAATCTCAGGGTTTGGGATAGTCCTGGCCTGTCAAACTTATTGGGAAGGGTTACTCTTCTGGACTACAGCTCCCAAAAACCCTCAGCCAATATTCTGGCTGAGGGATTCTGGGTGCTGTAGTTGAAAAGCTAGTGTTTCCAAGCTTCAGTCAAAGTACCACAGACAAGGAGATGGAGAGTTGTCAGAGTAATGCAAACAGATCCTGGAGTAATGGCTAGCCACTTCACACAATGGCTAACCACAATCACACACATTTCCAAATGTCCCCATATTTATGATAAAAAGAACTGGAGATTAAAAACACCTGGGACTAACAGAAAATATTCTGGGATAACCAAAATGTGCATGAGTCTACAAAATAAAATTTGAAAGAGCAGGAACAAAATGTGGGACTTTTTGATCTTCTTAATCAGTCTGGATGTTCCCTGAAACGGATCAATTGCTCCATCCATGAATGCTCATTGAATGTTTCATCCTTGAAAAGTCTTTGAATTCCTTTGCAATCAGTGCCGCTCCTCTTGTCAGAGACACCTGATTTTAGACACAGAAATTGCAGGCAGTTACCAAAAAATAATATTTATAATAGGAAAAGAAACAAGGAAGCAAAATATACCAATTTTCCCACTCTTCGCAGTACTGCATAACTGTACTTTAGAGATGACATATTCTTTCCACATAATAGAAAGCAATGCTAAATGGGGGTGTTCAGAACACCTGTTTATTAAAATATTTCTGTACCTCTCTTTCATCGTGAAATCACAGGTGGCAAATGGATAAAAACTGAAATAATTTCAAATCAAAACCAATAAATAATATCAGCTAGATTAAACATTAAACAATTCAAGCAATACAAAGAGCTTTATTCATTTTAGAGTACACCTATATTATAGAATTAATGCAATTCAGCATCATTTCGGCACTACTTTAACTGATATGGCACGGTACTATGGAATCCCGGGACTTGTAGTTTAGTGAGATATTCTCTTTGAGAGAGAATGCTAAAGACGTTCAAAAACTATAACTTCCAGGATTTCAAAACAAGTTGAAGTGGTGTCAAATTGCATTAATTCTACAGCAGCATTTCTCAACATGGGTCTTGGGACCCCTGGGGGCGGGTCACAAGGGGGTTTTAAAGAGGTCACCAAAAACCATTAGAAAACATATATTTCTAATGGTCTTAGGAACCCCTTTGGCAGAGAAGGCTGAAGATCTCTCAGCATGTCCTTCTCTTCCTTTTTTGCAACAGACGGCAAATCCTCCTACATAAAGCCCTCCTCCACTATGATTGGCTATCTCAGCCAATGGGGAGGGCTGTTTCTGAGACTCCAAGCGAGGAGGAGGGGAAAGCAGGCATCTCAGCACATGGCAGCATGGTGAGAGAGCATGCGAGGCTGGAGAAAGGTTCTCACCAGTGAGTCCCTTCAAGGCATGGGGGTTCTGTGTGGGAAGTTTGGCCAAATTCTATCATTGGTGGGGTTCAGAATGCTCTTTGATTATAGGTGAACTATAAATCCCAGCAATTACAACTTCTAAATATCAAGGTCTATTTTCCTCAAACTCCACCAGTGTTCACATTTGGGCATATTGAGTATTCGTGCCAAATTTGGTCCAGATCTATGATTGTTTGAGATAACAGTGCTCTCTGGATGTAAGTGAACTACAACTCCAAAACCAAGGTCAATGCCACCAAACCCTTCCAGTATTTTCTGTTGGTCATGGGAGTTCTGTGTGCCAGGTTTAGTTCAATTTCATCATTGGTGGAGTTCAGAATGCTCTTTGATTGTGGGTGAACTATAAATCCCAGCAACTACAACTCCCAAATGACAAAATCAATCCCCCCAACCCTGCTGCTGTTCATTCGTTCAGTTGTCTCCGACTCTTCGTGACCTCATGGACCAGCCCACGCCAGAGCTCCCTGTCGGCTGTCACCACCCCCAGCTCCTTCAAGGTCAGTCCAGTCACTTCAAGGACCCCCCAACCCTACCACTATTCAAATTTGGGCATATTGGGGATTTGTGCTACATTTGGTCCAGAGAATGAAAATACATCCTGCATATCAGATATTTACATTACAATTCAAAAAGTAGCGAAATTACAGTTACAGGCTTTACTAAATATTAGTCAGTGTTGGTACTCAAGTTTCCAAGCTGTCCAGAAACTATTCCAACAGTGCTTCTCTCCCTGCCAGGGAAGGTTACCAAGACACACCCAAGTCAAACAAGAAGTCAATCAAAGGGATATCCTCAAACCTGGGGCTGTCCCAAGGTATGCAAACGAATTTCCTTTTTAACAAACCTAAAAATCTCTGCTGTAATTACCGCCTTTCTTTCATGCTGTGTCTAGTCCTCTCTCTCTCTCTCTTTCTCTCTGCCTCCTGCTTAAAGGAGAACTCAGCAGGTTCCTATCTCATATCCTGAAACTGTCTCAGTTTGGCAGGAACAGTCCTGATTAATCCTTTGTCATCCAACTTTTTCAGCGGCTTTGAAAATGCCCTCCTTTCTCTTTCCTCTTTCAATTTCCCCCTTTGTTTTCAGCTTATTTCAAATGCTGCGAAGTTGAAAGGGCAAATGTATAGTAGTGTGCACTCAAATAACTCAGTTGAGAAAGAGGAAAGGAAGATTGGAATATTATCCTTCCCAGTAGGCTCAAGTAAAAGCTACTACTGCAGCCTCTTCTAGCTTGTGTGTCCCTCCTCATTAATTAAATTTGCCATCTTGACCACACTCTAAAGTTGCTTGGTCACCCATGCCCCAGTTCCCATCCTTGATCTAGGGCCAATGGTTATAATGATGCAGTGGACTTGGCCCATCTTCTAGATTCCTTTGAGCCATAAACATCACAGAATAACTTTGAGCCAACTGCTTCTCTCAGCCAAGTAAGCTGTCACAGGATTGAGACACCATATCCACAACCTTGACTTCATTGGAGGAAATGTAGTACTATTATTCCTATTAATAAATACATCTAATGGGCTTGATTTCTTATCTATTTTGCCACTATCATAACTTACATGTATAATATGCTACTAAAAGATTTTCTGTTTCCAGAACTCTGGAATTCCCTGATGTTCACTTGCTTCCTTTCCACAATGTGCACAGAAGGAAAAAAAATGTGTTGACACAAGCTCTGCCTGGATTTCCAAGGTCCCACAGGGGATTTGTCAACACAATTTCCTGCCACTGTTATGGAAAAAGTTATGGGAAATGGTGACCTGAACTGTCAAAACAGCTGAGATCTAAGTTCAGGGTTCAGCGTCCCTAAATTTGCTGCCAGTTGACCTTAATATTCTTGCACTATGATATTAAGACAGACAGTTGGATTTTTATGGTATATAGATGTAAATAGGGTGTTCCCACATAAATACATTCCAGATCCAAGCATCAATACATGCACTTGTTCAATGATCCCAATACTCCAGTCCTGCAGCTGGACACTCTTGAGATGCCAGGAAAAGAAAGCATGTGGGCAGGTGCCCCAAGTGTACTCCTCTCACAGAGATGCCAAAAGGTGGTCTTCTCCCAAACTGGGCCAGACCTATAACTGTCACTCACCTCTGAGTCCCATAAGGGAGCCCCCACATTTACCAATGCCCAAAGGAAGCACTGGTACTCAATGTCTGGATAGGCCCCAATTGTGACAATAGCTAGAATCATACAATTGGAAGAGACCACAAACGCCATTCGGTCCAACCCGCTGCCATGCAGGAACACACAAAGCTCTCCCAACATATAGTCATGCAGCCTCTTCTTAAAAATCCCAAGAGAAGGACACTCCACCACACTCCGAGGCAGCATATTCCACTGTCAAACCGCTCTTATCATCAGGACATTTTCCTAATGTTTCGCAGCATTCACTGAAAGCAAATAACAAGTCTGGAACAATCATTATAAAGCATGAATTGGTTGAGGCTCAAAAAGTAGTAGCCTAGATACCCTACCCACCTACACAACTGGAGTAAAGTCTCCCAGCTTGAGATGGAGGTGGGACCGAGAGAAAGTCCTCTCCTGAAGATCTCAGTGCCTGGGCAGGTTCATACAAGGTATGTGGTTGGCCAAATAGCCTTGACCTGAACTGTCTAGGGCTTTAAATGTCATAACCAGCACTTTGAATTGTGCTCGGAAACAGACTGGCAGTCAGTGGAACTGCTTCAACAGGGGAATTGCCTATTCCATCTCCCAGGAGACTGGTTTATATTGCTTTTTTGGTTGCTTAAATTGGCTACTCCTTGCCTTTCTCTTGAAAGCTGCTGCAGCCTTGCAGGGCCTGGAGTTTGCAGCCAAAGGCGGGAAAAAGGCCAGTCTGCAAACTCTTTGCAGTGATTGGCCTAGGAAGCAGTTCTTAGAGCCCGCCCTTCCTCCTGGGGAGAGTTTCCATTTTAGAATCTCCCTGCCCTATTTAGTTCTAAAGAAGCAATTGGATGTGCTGGAGGCCAAGAAAAGGTAGCTCTGAAAAAACCACCACAAAACAATTGAGTTATAGTTAGGTAAGCTTAATTGAGTTATAGTTAGATAAGTATAATTGAGATATCATAGTCAAGAATTGAGACAAGTTAAATTGAGTCATAGATAGAATAGAATTGAGTTTTATAGAGTTTATAGGGAGATAGGCTGCATTGCTTTTCTCCAAGGCTAGTCTGGAGCCTAGATAGTTAGGGAAAGATTGGTTCTTTCTATAGATAAGGGCTCTGGATTAGGGTGAGGGATTCCTGGACCTTTTGCCTCTTGGAGAAGGCTGACTCAGCAACTGGTGGAGAAGGAAT